GGGCACGGGGGTGGGGGGCGAATAGAAACTCTCCTGCGCGAACTCTTGTTTCATCGCCTCGTTGAAATGATTGGCTGCTGACTGCTGTGCAAGACTGGGGGCTGCCGCGAACTCCCAACAATGCGTTTGCAGCACAATGCCGGGGGGTCGCCCGGTGGATCGTGGGACTGCTTACTCAGAAGTAAGCCCCACTGTTTCGGGGGGATGTGCATAGCGATGAAGGCATGCAGGTCACTTTTGTGTGTGTGTACTCAGAAGGAAAGATTGAAGGCCAAAGAAGATGGGGACGGCAAAGGAGGAGACGGTTAGACAGTGTCATAGATGCAACGAACATGAAATTGAGCAAACTTCAGAGGACGGCGGGAGACAGGAGGGCCTGGCGGGATCTGGTCCATGGGGTCGCGAAGAGTCGGACTCGACTCTGCGACTGAACAACAACAACTCAGGAAGCCCCGCGTGTACGCTTACTCGGGAGGAAGCCCCACTTGGAAAAACGTGCATCAGGAGGGAGCCGTGCAAAGGCAGTTTGGTCCATGCTTACTCAGGACTAGAGCCATTAAGGCATCAGCAGGCCATTGGGGTTTGGCGATTCATCGTCAATCTGATGGGATCTTTTACTCTTTGGACTCAACGTGATTCCTTTGGGTTTGCTACATAATAATCCATGGAAACGTTTAGCGTTTTCGCCAGGCTGATGTCCTTCGCACCCAGTCTCCTCTTCTTCACTCTCTATCCCTGAGATACCCAGCCGTTTCTTTATAGACTTCCTTTATGCTCTGCCTTTGTCCTGTGAGGTAGATTAGGTTGAGAGTGTGTGTGACAGGCCCGAGGTCACCTAGCAAGCTTCTTTGTCAGTGGAGATTTGAACCTGGGTCTCCCAGGTCCCAGTCTGAAACTAACTGCTACACCACACAGGTGAAAGTTTATCGCACAAGAAACTGATTTGTTTTTAGGGTGGCACAGGATTATTTATTTCAGTGGGGGGTTGCTGCGCTAGGTGGGTACTGACTAAGTTTTAGGGTGGGAGTTCCAGGGGGGATGGGGAGAGGATGGTTCATGCTGGTGTACAATTCAAAAGGGAGTTATATGAGTTTGCGGAAAGGTCACATGGCACGTTGAAGTAAGCTGCTAGGGCAGAGTGGTTGGATTTAAGCCCTTATGGTCTTCTCCCGCTTTCACTAAACTAAAGGCTTCTGGTGGGGGAACATATACTTGGTCAGGCACTGAGGTTATGAGGCTTTAGCATGGGATTTGTGGGGAACAGGCAAAGGCTGTACCTGCAGGGTTAAGAAGGAAGGGGGTCTGCACTCCTGTTTTTGCAACTGGGTGCCTCCTAATGCAGTTAAAGGGAGACTGCTGCTTACACAGATGCCCTTTGCTATAGGGACTACTTTGCCATTTTTGACTGTTGTAAAGTTTCTGGGATCCCTGTTTCACCTACTGGGTTTTATTAATGTGGGGCAACCGCAGTTGGACTTCTTGCTTCACCATATAGACCAGAGAAGTCCACCTTTCCTCCTGTATGTTCCTTCTGCACAACTCCTTAAAAAATGTTGACCTGGCAGGTTCAGATGTACAGAAATACTATTTGATTGTCTTTCTTTGATGATACCCATTCAGACTACAGATGGGAGGCATGCATATTTGAATGCTGCCCCTTGTAGAAACACCCTAAATGCTGTGCTTACATTTTCAACATTTAAAATCACACAATCAAGAAAGAGCCCCTTTTATTATGCATGTTGAAATCTGCATTGTGCATTTTTCTACACTCTGCAGGTGGACACACCCTCCCTCTTGTTGGACAGCGATAAGCTCCTTCTTCAAGGCTGTAGCTCACCTGTGCTGAGATAAGGCTTACCGATCCCCCTCCTCCATGGGGAATCCCCTGCTCCAAGCGGGCACGTCCCTGTTGCCACTTAGCGGGGGGGGGGTGAGGTGGGGTGGAATAGCAGCAAATAGTGGCAGAATGCCAGCAGAATCCCAACCTGATGACGTCACTCCACACGTGCCCAGAAGTGCCGTCAGCATGATTCTGGGGATGCTGTGGTATCAGGGCAAAACTCTATGGTTAAACCATAGAGCTTTACCCAAATGCTAAAGCATTCCAGTGATGCGCTGACATCACCTCCGAGTGTAGGGGGAGTGATATCAGTGTGGCACCGGTGACATTACATCACTGGTGAGGCCTGCCTGCCACTGGGAAGTTGCCCTGCCTGGCAACCCTAGCTGAGATGCTGTGGGCCACACAATGTTGGCAGGCCTGTCTTTAAATTTCAGCGCTCGACCCACTTTTAACTGAAAGTCCCAACAGTCTCTCTTGCCCTTTGTTTCTTGGACCTATTTGGGGCAGCAAAATTCCTTGAGACTGCCCTGCTTGTTGGGTAAGTTAGGCTGATAGAACATGACTGGCACAAGGTCACCCAGTGAACTGAGCGGGGATTTGAACCCAGTTCATCATAGTCCAGTACTCAAACTGCTGTGCAGTCCCTTCAGTTGCTATGATTTTGCTTTGCAGAAATTCTATAGAAACTGGAGAGGTGATGGATTAGGACTTTTCCAGAAATCTGTATCTTCATAAGCACTTCCATGAGCTCAGTATATTTGCTAGATGGGATGAAGAATTATCTCTGATATGCAAACAAGGGAACCTCCAGAGGAAATCATCTGACTCCATTCTGGGGAACTGCGCAACTTGCAGCCTTAAAATCTATATTAGTAGCATCGAGCATACTTAACAGGATTTATGGTCATGTCTAGCATGTACACATCTGGAAACGGTGAAGGCTTGGATGAGGGATAAATAGATTGAAGCTTAATCCAGAAAAGTCAGTATTGTAGGTGGGGAATAAGGCTGTTCCAAGAGTAGGGGTTCTCTCAGAGTTGGATAGGATCACACACACACACCCAATTGTGTGTACAGTTTGAAGGTCCTTCTATGCCTTGATAAAATCCAGACTTGACTACTGTATGATGATGCATGCCGAGCTCCACTTGGAGGAGGTTTGGAAACTTCAGTTGGTCCAAAATGCAGTGTCTGCAGTCCTTACAGCATTGTTGTATTAACCCCGTGTCACACACCACCTGCATGAGTTTGTAGTCAGTTTCTGGCCTCAGTACAGTGTAGGCCAGGGGTAGCCAAACTTGTTTAACGTTAAGAGCCACACAGAACAAACGTCAGATGCCTCAAGATATAAACAAATATCACACACACGTTTTTATTGGAAAATATGCACATTTGCTTTTTATTAACATTAAATGAGACTGTAAAAATAAAACAAAAGGGGTATTTATTTGTCCAATGATAATTATTTGTTTGCTAATGATATTTATTTGTCTGAGAGAGAGAGAGAGAACGAACACGGTGGAAAGAATGAAAGAGGTAGAGAGAAAGAGAGAGAGGGAGGAAGAGAGACAGAAAGAGAGAGAGCAAATAAATGGAGAGCCAGCCGGGAGCTGTACAATATGTGTGAAAGAGCTGCATGTGGCTCCCGAGCCACAGTTTGGCCACCCCTGGTGTAGGCCTACCAACCTCATGGTGGGGCCTGGAGTTCTCCTGGAATTACAACTGACCTCTAGACTACAGTTCCTTGGGAGGAAATAGCAGCTTTGGAGGGGGAACTCTAGGGCATCAGTTCCCAATGAACACTCCCCCCTTCCCAAACTCTGCCCTCCACAGGCACAGCCCCCCAATCTCCAGGAATTTCCCAAACTGGAGTTGGCAACCTGATACAAGGTGCTGATTTTTACTAAAGCACTAAATAGTTTAGGCCCAGATCATCTGAAGAACCCCCTCCATATTTATCAACCAACTGGAGACTGGCCTTGGGGAGCCTTGCTCCTGGAACTAGCCCTTAGCAGAGGTTTGGCTGGAGGGACCCCATGGGTGGTCTTTTTAGTTGCTGCCTTCCAGCTGTGGAACTCCCTCCATGAGGAGCTGAGGACAGCTGTTTCCCTAAAGGTCTTATGGGTGGGGCTGAAGACCTGCCAAAAGGCCTTGGAAGTAGATGTAATGAGTAATGGCACTGCAGTGGGGGAGTGGAAATCGACCCATTGGTACCACTGAAAAATGTTTTGATATCTGAAATTTTTGAAGGGGTTGCACTGAATTTGGCTCAGTGTGTTATAAACCATTAAGGGTTCTCTTTTAGTCAAAGGGCAGTCTATAAATATACCAAATAAATTAAATAAATATGTTCAGATGCTCAAACAAAGACTTCACATGAAACTTACCTTATCCTGAATCAGACCCTCAGTCTATCAAAGTCAGTATTGTCTACTCAGACTGGCAGCGACTCTCCAGGGTCTCAGGTAGAGGGTTTTTCCCTTCACATACTGCCAGATCTTTTAGCTGGAGATGCTGGGGATTGAACCTGGGACCTTCTGCATTCCAAGCAGATGCTCTTACAGTGAGCCAAATTAATAATATCTAGTGGCATCTGGGGTTCTCCTAAGTTGATTTCTCTAAATTTGAAATGACTAGCAATCAGCTACATGAACCAATTGTAATGGGAAGCATTGTGGACGAAGTACTGTGTGGTGAAATGAAACTTCTGTTTATAATGTCATTTCCCCCATTGATGGCCCATTTGCAAAGGTAGTCTATCAAGTGATGAACATGCATGTGCGAACTAGCTTTTGAACTTCCTTGTTGGAAGCCGCTAACAACAGCTAGCGGAATGAGCATAAATGGTGGCAGGCGCTCAGTTCATGGAAACATTTCTTCACTGCATTTTATCTCTACAGAGATAGTTAAACACACATTTTTAATGCTAAAGGTCAGCGTTTGGGGCTGATCCAGGTGGGGTTACTTATTTATGCTTTTGCTGAAACCTTGATGAGAGATTGATTCATAGAGTGTTTGCTGGCTTGCAGAGGATTGTTCTCTCTTTGAATTTAGTTTTTTTTCTCTGCTGAAAACTCCTTACCTGGAGTCTCTCTCTATAATGGGGCTGTTGTCCTGTTTTAGCTTCCACGTGTCTCAATCTTGACTCTGTTGGGGGGAATCAGGTGCCACTAAAGTAATCACACTTCCATCAGGTTCTACCTAAAACTTGTCAACTTCCTTCAGACTATAGTTTTATATACATATGTATATCTTACCCCTCCTTCATCAGCCAGCATCCTTAGCATCAATATACCTAATTCTCAACATAGTGAAATCTGTGGATACTTAAATCTGGAGACTGGAGCCATAAACAGACATGAGCCATAAACAGACAAGACAAATGTTTTTACAAACCTGTAAAATGCCCCAAGGTTGCAAAAACAACTGAAATCTTTAAAAAGTACATACATACAAGCAGCACCTGTAGCTTTAAGAAATGAATGCCCTCAGTGGCCATTGTTAGGCAACCACAACAGTATTGCCAGCCTTCAAGCCTTAATTTCTGTTGCTAAGGGGGAGGAGCCAGGGCCCTTTCCAGGGCTGTTTTCACCTTTGAGGGAAGATTATATGGGCCAGGCCTGACAGCAAGCACCAAGCAACTTGCTATCACCCAGTTTTGCATGACTCACCAAGGCCTAGCAGATTGCTGCTGTTCAGCAGCAGCTAACCCATGAAAGCCAGTATAGTGTAGTGGCTAAAGTTTCAGACTAGGACAGTGGTGGCGAACCTATGGCACGGGTGCCAGAGATGGCACTCAGAGCCCTCTCTGTGGGCACGCGTGCCATTGCCCCAGCCAGGCCCAGACCATCATTAAAGTGTCAAATTCTCTGCCAAATAATGTTAAGTAAATGAAAGCTCTGGAGACTGGAGCCATAAACAGACATGAGCCATAAACAGACAAGACAAATGTTTTTACAAACCTGTAAAATGCCCCAAGGTTGCAGAAACAACTGAAATCTTTAAAAAGTACATACATACAAGCAGCACCTGTAGCTTTAAGAAATGAATGCCCTCAGTGGCCATTGTTAGGCAACCACAACAGTATCGCCAGCCTTCAAGCCTTAATTTCTGTTGCTAAGGGGGAGGAGCCAGGGCCCTTTCCAGGGCTGTTTTCACCTTTGAGGGAAAGGTGAAAAGGCCAGGCCTGACGGCAAGCAACTTGCTATCACCCATTTTGCATGACTCACCAAGGCCTGGCAGATTGCTGCCGTTCAGCAGCAGCTACCCCATGAAAGCCAGTATAGTGTAGTGGCTAAAATTTCAGACTAGGATATGGGAGACCCAGGTTCAAGTCACTGCTCAGCCATGGAAGCTCACTGGGTAGCCTTGGGCCAGTTACAGATTCTCAGCTTAACTTACCTCACAGGGTTGTTGTGAGGATAAAATGGAGGCTAGGAGAATGATGTAAGTTGTTTGGGTCCCCATTTTGGAGAAACACAGGTATAAAATATATAAATAAATATAGTTGGAAGATGGGGTGCAAATAAAAATAGGTTGGTTGGTGAGTAGGAAGGAGAGAAGGAAGCATGAAAAGGTGAGGATAAGGTGGTTGCCAGGAGGAGGGAAAG